AAGTCCAGCTAGACTTTCTCTGTTTTTTTTTTTTCTTGGTGGGAGTGTGAACGTGCTTTGGCCCCTAACGCAATTAAAGAAGGCCACTTGTTGAGCTATTTGCAGATGTATTAATCATTCATTCGCAGCATCAGCTGCGCCGAAATAATTTAATGATTTCCAATTTTATTTATTTTTCTATTAATAATTATGAGGTCCATATTAATAATAATGCAATTAAGATAATCCAGTTGTTTAAAAAGCTAATTAACTCAAATATTGGGGTTGTACACGTAAAATATTTAAAATAATAAAGCAGCACGTTATAATGCCTACCTCGTATTATTATTCTTGATTGCACTAAGGTTAGTTCTTTTCAAATAATGGCGAAGGTATAAATTTTTAATGGGTGGCTCAATTTTAATCTTGCTTCAGCTGGTTTTTATATTTTGAGAAAAAATTAAGGAGATATGGAGAGAGATAGAGAATGAAATACATACATAGTCAAAAGGGAGAGAGAAGACGAGAAAAGCGAAATGTCACCGTCAAACCTGATGCCTATGCCAAAGCTGTTGTCAAACTATTTTTGTAGAAGCGGCCTTAGAAGAATAGCATGTGGAAGTAAATGTGGTCGAGAGGAGCAGGGAATCACATTGTATTTATATTGAAGAAGAGTGGAGTGGAGTGTAGCAGATAAATCGCGAGATTAGGGAATTGTGACTGGAAATAAAAAATAGGGCTTATAGCGGAGTAGTCACGAGAGCAAAGTAAATAAGGTTTTTTTAGGAACCGCTCGTGCTTTGGAAAGCGTCCGACATGAGTTTTTCTAAATTTTGGAGGGGGCACCTCGCCCGTTCTAAAAACTCTTAAAACATGATAACAATTAAGGCTTCAACTTCGTTTATGACAGTTTTTTTTTTAAGACAATTTTTTAGTAAAAAAATTTATTGAACTATAAATTTTTATATTAAAAATTTACTTTAAAAACAGTATGAAAGCTGTCCCAAACAAAACCTTCATTTTGGATAATTTTCTTATTATTTTTTAAAACAATTTTTTATAATATAAATTTCATAAAAGCTGCGAAAATACAATGATCAAAAGCAGTCCCAAATGAATCCTAAACTATCATATGGACGTCATGGGCTTATTTAATTTTATGTAAATATAAAAATGTTTTATGCAATAATGATTTTATTTTTGAACATTTTATATGAAAAAATAGAATTGATCTTTCCATGTGAAGTGTGAACCTTAAAATTGGACAAAAGAATCATAGTAATGGATGTTGATTACTTTCTAAGAGCTTGGTCAAATAATAATAATGCGCTAACTATAATGTTTACTTTCTTGTGAGGATTTTATTAGGTATTTTTATGGGTGGAAGTCCTCATCGAGGGGCGAATTATTGCGTCCGGTCGCCAGATGTCCGGATATCCAATCCGGTGATGCCACATCACCCAAATACACTGGGTCCCGGTGTATTTTGATGACGTGGCGACACCGGACGCAATAATTTGCCCATGGGGGGGACCAATCCCATGAAAGAGAGCAATTTTTATTTTAGCATAAAGTTATTTATATTATATATATTAATTATAAATTATTTTTATAAACTTTAATACTTTTAGGGAATTTTTAATATTTTCTTGGGACATTGCTCCCTCTCATGTATAATAATCCTTTCATGTTTTAAAAAACAATTGAGAAAAAATTACTATTGTATAAAATTAAAAAAATAATAATAATAATTTTCTTTAAATAAGAGAATTTATAGCTTTATAAAAAATCTAAATATTAACTTTCATTTATAATTAATTATTCATTTTTAATAAATTAGTTATATAATATCTAAAATGAGGATACTATATTTTACTCTTTTACAAAATTCATAATAATATTTATTTCATGATTCAATTGTTAAGTTAGTAAAGGTAGTATTTTAATTGTTAGTTTTTTGTCTAAAAACTAAAAAGTACTTAAGTTTTTAATTTGTTGCTGGAAATTTTCAAATATGAGATTAAATGAAGGAAATTTAAGTGTGGCATAGTTGTGCTACATAGCGCAATGTTGCAACGCCTTTGATAGAAATTTGTTGTCAAAATAGAGAGCTCAGCTCCGCAGCATCACAAAGAGAAATTTTTAATTCTACATATAGAGAATATTACACAGCAATGGCTGCCATCAAGCGCCAAAAGGCTAAATTACAACGTCATAGCGCTACTCCCTCCAAGCCACAACTCTTTGAAGGGGAAAATTTAAGGTTCAAGATAGAAAGCAACGCACCACCGTTCCTGATCACCCAACGTCGTAGCACCAAATCGCCTTAGCACCACAATGGTGCGGTTGCTATCAGTTATAATTTGAAGAGAAGCACTGACAGCACCACAACACAACTAGTATCATGTGGCAGCACTATGGGCCTGATTGTCTAAAATTTTAATTATATATTTTGTAACAAGTATAAATAGGTCATTTCATTTGAGAAAAATAGACTTTTGGGGGGTTTCCAAGGTAGATTTTGGAGAGAGTTGGGCAGATTTCTTCCTTGCTTTCTTTCTATTTTTCTTTTAGTGAGTGTTTGTTTTTGTATTGTGGATTTTGACACAAATCAAGAGCAAAATCATTGAGGAGAGCAAGTCTTAAATTTAGAGATTATCCTTATTTGATCTCTTCATTTATGTACTTTCTATTCAGATTTGCAATGCCAATCTTTGACTTTTGTTTAGTTAAATTTGCAAAGTAATGGCTAGTTTTCTTTATCGAAATTTATGATGTGATTTTAGTATTAAAGTAGATTAAGATTTCATTTGGGACGGCTTTCTTAATGCTTTTTAAAACAGCTTTTCAGTATAAAAATTAAATTTTTTGTACTAAAAAGCTGCTTTAAGAAGCAGTGAGAAAGCTGTCCCAAATGAAGCCTAAGTCTACACTCTTTCATGACATATAATTGTTTCATAGTTCACCAATCTTAATTTAGTTGTGTTTTGATTGTGCACAAACTTCAAACCTCGTTTGATACATGTCCTCGACAGAGGTATAGTGAAATAGTTAAGAAAGCATGGTTAGAATTCTGAAAACATAGATGATTAGAATTCTGAAAACATAGATGCATCAATTTTCAAGGCTTTGGTATCATTAAGGTGATGTTGTGCATGCAATAATGTGATTAATTAGCATAGTTAGCCATATCTTTACTAGGATTCCAACAAGCTTGGTAGAGACAAAAAACTGTTTATATTTTGATTAACAATAAAATTTGATAGATCAAATAAGCATGCATATAATAACCACATCACTCATAAATTCAGACGTGCTAAACCAAAAATAATAAAAATAATAATAATCAAAGTTCTACTGTTTTATTTTATTTTAATTACTTCATAAAAATTTTATTTGATCTATAAGATAAATTAAGTGATTGATAAAATTGGTTCTTAACTTGTAAGGATAACAACTGATTCTCTTTTGAAAATGTTACTTTCTTATCATTTTATTACTTGAAATGATACATGCTCTTGTGTATCACCGAATTAGCCAATCATCAATCAACTTATATGTGAATTGCAATAATTTTTACAAAATAATTACAACACCAATGATAATTTAGGTAATAATTTAATGCAATATTAATGAAATATTGATTTTATACACCGCATAATGCTCGTAAATAAAATAAAAAATATGCCCATTATTATTTTTCTTGGGAAAATATGTTAAAAAGTTTAGTTTGGAGCAAAATTCCCCCACTTTGGAGTACAACATACTTTATAAATCTTCCGATAACAAATTTAATTTGAATAACATTTGAACAATGTTCAAATAAAATTTTATCAAGATTTAGACTAAATGCGATAAAAATTTGATGCATGATCAAAGATTATTCAATCCATAATTGAGCATCATTTGTTACCCCCATTATGTATTGCAGACTATTTTATATAAGTCGCCTACAATCAAAATTACTTTAACTAATATTCAAATAAAATTTGATGAAGGTTGAATCATATGCGACAAAAATTTTGATCCATAATCAAAAATTATTTGAACCCTAATTAAATATTAATCATTATTATTCAAAATATTCTTCAATTAAAATTTGTACATGGTTTGAATAAGTAATAGTTAAAAGAAAATTATAAAATAGTTTTGAATAAAGTTCATACAATATTCAAAAAGGCTCAAACTTATTAAACAATAGAGGGTAATATGCTATAATACAATCACATTGGCTACAACACTAAGATAACATAATAGGTGATAGAATAGTTTATAGGAACATGTTAAGCACAATCACAACAACTATATCACTATAAATTGTCTACTTGAAGATCACATTCCTATAACTAAGACATAGCCAAATCTATATCAATAACCTGAATATGACTAGATCTATGTCACTATAAAATGTTCACAAATGATAATCTCCATATCAAAATGAGTAATCTATATAAACATCTTTCAATCAGGATCATAATAAATTTTAAGAAATGTTCGTAATTAGTAATCTCAAATCTAATATCCATTTATGCTTAATGTTAAGTATGTAAACATATAAATTTACTAACTTTAGATAACAATCAATAATTAATCAACGATAAAGACGAAAATATTGCATTGTCGGTTTACTTCAGAACCATCATCGCTCGTCAGAGAAAAAGAATGGATAAAAAATAGGTCTTAAATTAGCTTAAGGAGCAGGTTATAAACTTTCATTTTTGCTCCTTTTTAAATTAATTCTTAAACACGATTCTTATACAATTTCCATATAAAATGTGTTGTTTTTATAATTTGGCCACTAAGAATATGAGTGAGTATTCTGATTCAAAAAGAAAATTTGAGTTTTTTTTTTCTAAAATGTAAGGTGATAGATATATTAATTTAAATTTTATGAGGCAAATAAATCAAAATTTTCATCTTGCCCAAAAAGCTAATCATCATCCAATATATAATAAAATACAAAACGTCATGCAGCACAATGGAAAAAACCAATACCCGTGGAACCTTATTCAGAGCCAAAAGGTCCCATCGCTTTCATCCGCACCCACGCATTCTTCATGCTGATTTTTTTAATATTCTCGGATAATGATGTCGAATAATCCCTTAATTTAATTTCCAACTTCTTCCCCTTCCACAGTTCTCATAAAGGTGTCAACTTTCCTCGGATCCAATCCAGCACTAACCAGAGCTAGAGAGAGAGAGAGACAGATGAAGATACAGTGCGACGTCTGCGGCCTGGAAGCTGCCTCCGTCCTCTGCTGCGCCGACGAGGCCGCGCTCTGCCTCGGCTGCGATCATCGCGTCCACTCCGCCAATAAGCTCGCCAGCAAGCACCGCCGCGTCTCCCTTCTCCACCCCTCCTCAAAAACCCTCCCACCGTGCGACATCTGCAAGGTTAATTAATTTACTCACCGATTCAAATCGTATCCCAAAAAAAAAAAAAAACCAATTTTTATTAATATTGATACTTATCCTTGCAGGGGCGACGAGGCTTCGTGTTCTGTCAAGATGACAGAGCCATACTCTGCAAGGACTGCGACCTGCCAATTCATTCGGCTAATACCAACACCAGAAAGCACAAAAGGTTTCTCCTCAGCGGCATCAGACTGTCCACAGCACCAGTCACCTCCGCCTCCACTTACTCCTCGCTGCCCACTTCGGAGACAGAGATGGTCTCCAGCAGCTTTACCGCCAGCAGCAGAGTCTCGGAGGAAGACACCGTGTGCAGCAGCCACAGCACCGCCACCAAAACGGCGAACAATAACAGCGGCGGAAGCACCATATCTGACTACTTGATGAACATGCTTCCCGGATGGCGCGTCGATGATTTCCTTCTCGACGATGCCGCCGCCGCCGGCAACCTCACTGGCTACAATTTGGTAGGTTCAACAGAATACCTTTCAGAAAAGTTTAAGTTTGTGTTTTCCATAAACTAAAAAAAAAGACGACTAAGTTAATAGATAAAAGGTTAATTAACAAACACCTGAAATCTATTTGTTGTAAAGATATCGGATCCGGCGGTGGAGACCGAGACGGCCGGAAGCAGCAGCGGGGCATGGGCATGGCCGGGCGGAGCGGTGACTAAGATGGAGGATATCCCAGCCTGGGCGACGCCATTCCCTGCTGCTCAGGCTACTGCTATGGCTCAGGAGGGATTGTATCCGCTGCCGGATTCCATTGAGAGGGGTCCAAGCGGGTGGAACGAGGAAGCCTCCATGGTTCCACAGTTGCAGTTCCAGCATAAAAGTAAAAAGAGATCTGTGGCATCCCTTTGGTATTAGCTAGTTGTTAAAGCTGCCTCTTTTGATGGTTGGAGTGTTTTCTTTATAGTTCTTCGCGACTTGAAGCTTTCATCGCAACTCAATGAGAGTTTGTTAATCTATTTCGGAATAAAAAATTTCAGGTTCTTATCGAGAGAATTATCATTTGATGTGTGATGTATAAAACGAAATTTATACCGAAAATGATGAAGTTATCTGAGGGGGAAAAACTCTTTCCGGTGGATGCAATTTTTTGAGCTTTTTTTCGGGCTACTGATAGCTTTGAAATCGGTGAACAGTCGAACGTATCTGTATTTAATAAATTTTTACTCTGAAATTTATTTAGCGTGAAAGCATTGGCTGGCCTTTAGTTTTCACGGAAAGAAAAAATTGTATCATAATATTGTTAGTTTTATGCCGAAAGTGATTGTGTCTATCAATTGGGTGTTGACTCTGCTCATGAAAAAAAAAAAAAAAAATCTGTAAAGCTCTACAACACATTGTGATATTGTATGCTAATACTTTAGATGTTTTAAATTCGAGCTGGAGATAAAGAGCGGAGCATAATAGCGCTTCAAAGTGTAATGCCGTTGTAGTGCAAGTATGTTCTCCGTCATAATGCAAGACATGTTGAGCATTTTTTTTCCTTCTTATTTCACTTGAAGGATTGTGTCCTTTGAATGTCTGAAGTTCATTTCCGTGAGTGAAGTGAAGAAAGATAAAAGAAGAGTGAGAGAAAAGAGATTTATACAATTTCTTTCAATTTTTAAAGTAAATTTCTTATTGTGATTTGGCTATATGATTTTTTCTGGCCGCATTTCTATTTTACTTATTTGTTTCGGTGCAATCATTTATCTGAGAACTATGTTGGGTTGAGACAAAAATTTAATGATTAAAAATAAAACATGAATAGTTCGATAGAAAAACACTTAGGGCGTCTCCAGCTGAACTCCAAACGACTGTAAGGCGTAGTTGGTTAGCTCCATTCGAACGGCGAATAATCGCTAATCGGTGGAGGGTGAACAGCGTTGCACTATTCACCTACGCGATTTTTCCATCTCAACCAGATTTGCCGAAGAAACGCGCGAAAGAGGAGAAAGACGGTTACCTTCACAGAAGGATGCAAATGGAGTTCAATTAAAGATCAATCACGACATTTTTTAATTTCACTGCATTTAGGAGTAAAAAAATTGGATTTTCGGCTGGAGATGCCCTTACAGAAGCATTAAAAGCAGAATAGATGTAGCTGGAGAGGGGAATTTGTACTTTATTCATTTTGTGAAGGTGAAAGATGATCGATTATAGAACTCAATGGTACCTCTACCCTTTATAAAGCTGAGAGGAGATACACTATAACATTAATTTGTTTAACATAGATGGCTGATATCATCTTGATGGCTAGAGGCTTGCGGTTATGATGCGCAAATGATAGGTCATGGCATACCCTGTGTAATAGACTGATATGTTAATAGACAAATTGTTAGTCTGTCTTGAAGGCCGCTGAAGCATTTTGTTGGGAGAAGTTTTGTTAAGATATCAATGAATTTGTCTTTAGTAGAGGCGTGAGGATAATATCTTGGATATAATGTACTATGATAAAGTGATAATCAATTATAATATGTTTCATACAACCATGAAATACTATGTTGTTTGTTAGAGCAAGAGTTAAAATGTTTTCACAATAAAAAAAGTGTTGAGAGTGAGTGGAACATCAAACTCAGGAAGTAGATAATGCAATGGTTGAAGTTGTCGATGCCTTGTATTATACTTCTATTGAGGATCTAGCTACAATGGGTTGTTTCTTGCTTGCACTAGAAAATTGGAGTTCAATTTAAATGAGCACAATAACTAAAGGTCGTGTATCATGAGGGTCGCTAGCCTAATGTGCATTGGCATAGGCAAAGAGAAGTAGAAAGTCCTTGTAGATTTCAATTCCATAATCTATAGTCCCTTAAAAGTAGTAGAAGAAGCATTTGCATTATTGGTAGTGAGAATTGATAGGTTTATGCATTTCTTGAGTCCGTTGACAACAAACAAGAGATCTGACCTTGTTAATGTCAAGTATTGTAGAGATTTGAATAAGTGCCTATACAAGGAGGATTTGTGAAATTCTATTTTAGTAGTCTCGATAAGGAAAGGTATGGTAGTTAGGACGATTTGAGTAGGATTTTGTATTTATCCATGCCAACACGTTGTGTAAGTCTCACACATATGGTGTTTGATGCAAATACAAACTATATTTTGTGGATGAGACTACAAGACCAAGGACTTGATAAATGTTGTCAAATTTTTATCATATGAAAGTATGTAGTTAGTTTTTATAGGATAGTTGAAAGCAACATGAGGATCATTACCAGCTATCAGGATGTCATCAACGTAGATCAAAATATAGAGGTGAGAGGAATTTGTGCTATAAATCATGAAGTAGGGGTCAAGTGAGCTAAAAGTAAAGCCTAGTTATTGTAATTTGTTAGTGCATATTGAGAATCATTGTTAAGATGCTTGTTTAAGCCCATATATATAGGCTTTTGAGTAGAAAAAAATGGTTCAAATGTTGTTGATCTTGAAAGCCCTATGATTGGGTCATTTTATTTCTTCATTGAGATGGTTATAAAGAAATACATAGTTTATATCAAACTATATGATTGTCCGGTCATAGGGTAGGGCAATAATGAGAAGGATGTAGATGGTTGGTATTTTTATAACATGGTTGATGGTTTCATTGGAGTTAATACCTTACTCTTGTTTGAAGCCTTGTGTAACCAATCTAATCCTATGAAATGCTATGTGATACTTAGTTTATAGGTCAGCTTGCATCTAAAAAGGCTTTGACTCAATGAGTGAGGAACTATGATCGATGTTTCACATGTATGTAGGGCTTAAATTTCTTAGGACATGGTTGTACACCAATGTGGTTGGCAGATAACTCTAGAATGTCAGGTGATATTGGTGTTTGAAATGGTGTTGACAAGATTTAGGATGTATTTTAGCTAGAGATGGCTAGTTTTGAATCGGTTTGTAATTTGATGTACTACTAAGTGAGCGTGGAGGTATTTAGTGAAGCACATTTATTAGTGGGTTGATTGAAATGCTCAATAAAGGCAAAAGAAGACAAAATTTTTGAAAATGAAAAGTGAGAAGGTATAGTATATTATTGTTTGGTTGATTTAATGGATGAAGGCATATTAAATGGTAATTATGGGGGAATGCAATATGTCGAAACTAACAGAAGAGGAGAAATTGTTGTTGTTGTTGGGATAGTTATTGGACTGATTTAGTGGATGAAGTGTGGCAGTTGGGAATAAATTTTCATCAAACATAATATAATAGCATGAGAATGAAAATTAAGAATAAAATCATAATTTCAACAAATAAATTGATATTTGAACAATAATTTAATAAGCATTTATATATTGAAAACAAAAATATTTTATATTTAATTTATGACTTAGATAATTCAATTATTTAAATTTTCTTAACATTTTAAAACTTTTATGTTAAATCTCTCGCATCTCATATGATGAGAAAGACTAAGGATTTGTTTGTTTGGGACAATTGCACTGAAGTGCTTTATAAAATTAATTATAAAATTGTGAAGAAAGTTGTTTTTTGTTGTCTTAGTCTTCATTTGAGACGATTTTCTTACTGTTTCTTAAAGCAGTTTTTTAGTAGAAAAAATAAATTGTTTGTACTAAAAAGCTACTTTAAGAAGCATTAAGAAAACCGTCTCAAACGAAGCCTTATGTTAACCCCTTACACGATGAGTACCTCATAGATTATGTATATGATATCTCATACCTAAATAAGGCTTAAAAATGCTCTTTATGGAGGAAAACCACATCAATTAAGTAAAAACTTTCGGTTGATAAAACTACTAATTTATGTGCACATGATAAGCAAAAATGTACTGATTAAATTCTTTTACTATATATAAGAAAAGTATGTGATTATATAGAAAAAAATTATTTTATGACCCATCACAATATGTTGAAAAAATACAAGTGTCATGCACTGAATCCTCCTATCCTAATACATAGATCATAAAGAACTAGTTGGTGAATAATATCACCCTATGTAAGTAACTAGTTCTTCGATAGTGATGTGTGCAATAACGTGTGTGAATCAATAGCCCCAATAAAATATTTAAAATATGCCATATAACATATATCTTTGAGAATCCATGACAAAATATGTTGAAATTGTGTATCTAATGGGGGTTATAATCTCTATTGCTAAGTAGACTGATGCTCGAGACCAATAAAAATATCTACTGACTATTTTTGTAGAGTGTTGAAACATTCACGTATGACTTATACGGATATATTAAATCTTAAAATGTATATAAAGCCGAGCCCTATATGGGGTCCTGGTGCGGTACCCACGCTCTGCGCTGGCGAGCTTTGCCCACCCACACCTGCCTATGGTGGCTTTTCGGATGTCATAACCACCCACACCCACCCACTTTCCACGCTTATTGAATGCAGTCTGCCACAGATTAATGGCCTAGTGGTTTTTTGACATTTTCTCTGACTGCAAACTTTCAAGCCACATATTAAAATTTATCATGGTCGCGACGCGGTTCAGTGTTGCGCACTGCGTAGTCAGGATTATTGTAATATACTACATGCATGTGATGATTAGTTATGTAAATCGGTTGTCCTCTGATGTTGAGTATCCACCCATGCCCACCCACGAGGTCATGGGCGTACCCATACCCACCCATACCCATTGGGTGTTGGTAGGTATGTGGGTGGGTGTGGGTATGAGTACCCAATGCAGGGCTATGATATAAAAGTAATTGCAAAAACTTCCAAACTAATTCTTTGTGATCTAATTACACCATAGGATGGTTCATGCAAACAAAGTAAATTGCTTGCAACATTTTAACATATTATAGAATTTTATAGGATGTCGAAATAGTAATTACAAAAAAACTCCCACAATTATGTTAGAAAAAAATTTATGTAAAGGCTTCCTGACAGAAAACACAGCACAATTGTTGCGTCCTGGAATATTCGCGGCGATAGAGAAATATATAATTTAATGTCTTAGCATTGTACGAAGATCCAGCACACAATCAGATAAGTGAGAGGGTGTAGCGTTCATAAGAGACACCAGTTTTTTACGTGGAAAACCCCTGAATAAGGGGAAAACCATGGGGCCTGGCCCCGTTTGAATGAATCCACTAGTATTTTCAGTCGATTACAAATGAGGCCCTTCCTTTGGAGAAGGCCTTGGATTGATGTAGCAAATGTACATCATATAGATTGCATTACATGGTAGGAGTTACTTATACATGTTGTTTGGTCAGAAGGACCGTAGTCGGTAGGAGACCAGGGTCAGAAAGACCGTTGTTTGTAGATGGAGGTCGGAAGGACCATAGTAGGTGACGGAGGTTGGAATGACCGTAGTCGGCAGGAGACCTGGGTCAAAAAGATCGTTGTCTGTTGATGGAGTTCGGACCACAAAATTGCTTAGCTCAATTGCACCCTTATAAACTCAACTAATGGGCAATTTACCAAGTCAAATCCAAGGGTGCTGAAAAACCGCTCAAGGAAACGAAGGTTCAGTGCAAGAAAACATCCTGGCTTTTAAATTTTCCGCCACCGCCGCCTACTCCACCTTGGTCCGTCGCTTCTCCTCCTCCACCGCCAATTAGTGCCAGCCAAGTGGATCGAAGATACGCTGAGCAGCGCAAATTAAGAAGAACAGCCCCACAGACGTTATATGGGAAACAATATGAAGACAACCAATTCAATATCTCCTTCCTTTTTCGTCTCCCCTGAATTCCTAATTGGAACGCGTGCGCAGGCGTTTCCACTTCTGTCTCTCTCTCTCTCTCCCTCTCTGTTTGCCATTTCCATTTCTCTCTCCTCCTTGAAAACCCAAATCATTCACAGCTCCAATAGTATCTGCTGCTCCGCAACGATGTCTTTGTGCTGCGGAGGTGGCGGAGTTCTGCTGTGGGTGGCCACATACGTTTTTCTTCTTCTCCACCTCTGTCTCGCCGGTCTGCTAGTTGTACTTCTTTTTTATCTCTGCTATGTTTCCTTTGTATTAGATTTCGAAGCTTTTTCTTCCTGAAATGCTTGCAGGTGCGTACGATCCAATGGACCCCAATGGGAATATCACAATCAAGTGGGACTTTCAGCAGTTCCGTGATGACGGCTACACGGTGAGTGACGCTTGGCTCCTATTCGGCTATTCCCAATCTAGCTTCCCCAATCGCCGGGAGGTTAGTTGTCTTGGATTTTTCTTCTGGCAACCTTCGAAATCTGGGGATTGGGCTGCTTAAGATCTATTGGAATCATTATTTTCATTTCATGTGGCATTGATGGTCTTTAAATGTGAGAATAGAATTGCCCATTATATTTGGTTTTTATTAAAATTTATGATTTATATCATTTCAAAGTTTTTAGGACTTTGTTCATCAATTAGCTGAATTAAATTATATTTTTCGTGTTACGGTGGCTTTTTGTATGCCTTAACTTGCTACAAAGGCATAACGAGAATGATATGCCAATGTGAGGAGATAATGGAGGAAATTGTGACAAATCCAATAAAAATCTCATTAGTTTATCATCTTAAATCTGTCATAGATTCTTATCTACTCAGTCAGGGAGAGCTGACCAAACTTGATAATGTGATCCTTATTGCAACCATGAGTTGCTCATCCAATGAGACCTTATAAATTATGGATAAATCTTATTGAAGGACACTATTGAGTACATTATAAGTTTTAATCATAGGGAAAAATGTTCAATCATGATTGCGACCGCATTAGATCAAAGGGCATGTATCCTAACTACAATGATGTTGTAGCAAAGGTAGACACTGTTTAATGTAGATGTATGGAATATCCTTATCATGTATCATAATCATAATATAATATAAGATAATAATGCTTTCAATTAGGAACTACTAGAGGACATTCATTGGCACATTTTAGTGTGTGGTTTTAATATGGTTACTAGGATATATATACTTTTAAATGGTGGATTGTGGTCTACCAATATGATGAAGCCGTATAGTTCACGAGGGAGAGGATGTAACACATAAGGAGGAAAGAGTGATATGAAAGTCGATCCTTCAACCTAAGATGCTTCCTTACTCATTGGAACAAGTAATATGATGTCATAGGATGATCTAAGTATGGTAGTGATTATGAAGCATTACAAGCCTTATGAGATAATTGAAATAGATGGCAGACTAAAGCATCATAAGGAGATGTTAGAAGGTTATGATAATTATAGTGACTTCTTTACACTCTCATATACTTTATCCAAGTGAACTTAAAACTTTTTATTCTTAGGATCCTACATATTGAGTGACTCTCATTGGGCTAGGATTTAATAAGTATAATATATTAGAGAGATTAATTGGCTAGGTCAACTTTTTATATAATGACATTCTTGAGCTGACTGTAAGTATCACATAAAAGTAGTGCAATTGATGCTACTCAGCCAACTCTCGATCCTATTTGTGAAAGGTATTTGACAAAAAGTTTTCTATAAGTCTTGTTTTTTAGTCTTATAAAAAAAGTTCAGTGGGCACAATATATCTTTATGATGCATAGGATTAATTAATGACAACTAAAGCATATGAGGGCTTACACATTCATGTAGTTATGATAACATTTTTTCCCTGCTAGGTTTGTGGTCTATGATGCACCGACACACCTCTTGAAGAGAGAATACAATGTCAGACACGTGTCGAACACGGGCACGTGTTGAACACGTCAGACACATGTCCAATTAAAATATTGTTTAAATTAACCTGACACGGCTGTGACATGTTTCAAACACGCTGGGACACGCGTGTCCTAATTTTTTATGATAAAATTATTTGAATTATAAATATATGATATCCAATGAACTATTATGAGAGAAGATTAGAGAACTAGAGAAGTATAGAAGTAAATATATACATTTTTTGTGATTTAGATTAGAGGATAAAGAAATATTATGGGAGAGATCTAGTGAACTAGAGAAGTAAATAGATACAAAAAAGAACCAACTTTTATTATATGATATCCAATGAACTATTGCAAATCATTCTCTTGAAGAACTAAAGTTGGAAGCAATGATATTCAATGATAATGATATTGAAGACAAAAAACAAACCTATGAAGTTAATCCTAGTAGTTGAAGCTTGAATGCATGATGTTGTAGTAAGTGGTTATTTGCTTATATTTTTGTGGTTATACTAGACATTTTCTGATAAGAAAATTAGATCGTTTAGATTGCAAAATTGTAAAATTATTGCGAGTGAAAATTTATGTACCCAACATCGATTATTAGTTTTGGCACCACCAAACTTGCTTTCAGCACTAGTATGCTTTTCCGGTATCACCATATGTGCCCTAAGGCACCCCTGCATTTGACTATGTGCCCCATTGTAGCGTGCCTTCATCATGTAGAGCTTGTTCACCACCCACAAACAAAAGAACCAAATGATGTTTTCTCACTCTCTTCTCTATTTCTTCTTTTTAACCTTCATCTAAAATGGCCTCTCTCCCATCCTCTTCAATTTCTTATAGCAAGCCCAACTTTGCACGCCCTTTTTGATGGTTCTTTTTGTTTCATTTTTATAGGGTCTAAGGCCGTGAAAATCAAAGCAAAATATGGATCAGATTTTTTTTCCAAGTTAATCCAGAAGAACAGAACTTGTGACAAGTATTTGAACTTTTTAAACGAAGATTAAAGGATAATTTATTCAATTTGAATTTATGTATAAAACCATCTGCTTTGAATGTTATGCTTATTCTATAGAGGAAAAATTGGGCTTCGCCAGATTAGCAATTGTAGCTTTTTTTTTTTGGGAAATTTACATACATACTACTTTTATTTCATGCTATTTACATATCTAACACCCAAAACATTAATATTACATGCTTTTCACAGATATAAAACTTAATATCAAATATATCACTCCTATAATTCATTCATACCATTTATACCATCCTATAAACTTTAATTTTGATCTCAATTTTTTGACCGCAATGTAGCTGTTACACAATTATTTCTTTCCTGTAGGTCATGATTGATATATACAACTACCAGCTATACCGTCATATTGATAGTCCTGGCTGGAAGCTAGGCTGGACATGGGGAGGGGAAGAAGTAATATGGGATGCAAGAGGTGCTGAGGCTGCTGAGCAAGGGAACTGCTCTAAGTTCACAGGCAACATCCCCCATTGTTGTGACAAGAGTCCAGTTATTGTGGACTTGCTTCCAGGTGCTCCATATAATATGCAAACTAAAAATTGTTGCAAAGGTGGTGTGTTGGCTTCGTTGGCTCAGGACCATTTGAATTACCATTCATCTTTCCAAATAAGTGTTGGGACTTCAAGTACTGGCCTTTCTCTGAATGTTAGCGATGCTGAAACCCCAATGCCCTACAATTTTAGTCTTGGTTTGCCTGGATATACATGTAGTAATGCTACTGTGGTACCCCCTACCAAGTTTCAGAATGATGGAGGTCGCCGCAAAACACAAGCCCTCCGTAAGTGATCTGCCATAGCCTTTTTTCAGTTGATAACATATTTTGTTCGTTAAGTGTCATTGAGGTTTTCACTCCTAATGTGGAGTTGCTATGGAGTATGGAGTTTAAATATATTTGTCATATATAACCTAATCTATCTTCTACAGAATAGAATTCATCTATCTCAATTTTGTGCTGCTAGTCTTTCTATTTTCTTGCTAGTTGTCACCCTTGCAAGAAAGGTTTAAAAATTTGTGGTATATGACATTTGTATCCAGACCATGTTAGAGAAACTATACAGTTTAAGCACTCAAGCTACCCATTATTTCTTATATTACTCACTTGTTGTGGATGGAAGTAAAATACCATGATGAAACAAACAAGCAAATAAAAAAAAAACAATGGAAAGTAAAAGGACATCAGGATTTAACGTGGAAAAACCCAAAATAGGAAAAAAAAACTACGGAGCCACACCACGCCAAGAAATCCACTATGAAAATGGGGAGAAATAAATACAAATCTCTCCTCTCTCTCCTTGCTTATCTTCTTTCTTACACCATTCTCACAGTTCTCCTGTTCTAACTACTCAAAAGAAAATCTAGTTAATAACTCCAAGGGATGCAACCCTCCAGAAAAAAAATAAGAAAGAAAATTGTCCAGTTTGTTTCAAAGCGTTGCGCCTCCAGTTTTGTGTGTTGTGGCGCTCAAGCCTTTGTCATTATGATGTTATGACGCCTAATTTAGAGCGTTGCGGTGCTCTGCTCTCTGTCTATTAGCGCTGGGGCGCTCGGGTTCACAACGCCGTGGTATTGTACCAAAAAACGCTCGAGTACACAATGCTCTGGTACACAATGTTGGGTACACTTAAAACCAAGCAGGGGATAAAATCCTAATAACCCTTAGCGATCAGCCGATCACGAAAAAATGACTTGAGGTTCGAGGCAGCAATACAATCCAATTGATCAACACAATAAGATTTCATATGGAACTAACATCCCTATCCTAACCACTTGTATTATTAACGATGCGGCATATATTTTCGGCAACTAGACCTCAGCCACGGATGTTGCTTAGGTATTTAAATAGTTGTATGCTGAAGCTAAAGCTTTCATGTCCAATTTTGGCATTTAACTCGTAAACTGAATGTCGTTTTATAGCCAGATTATTATTTTTTTGCACAATCTGTGCAATATTAATTGAGTTTATTATAAGTCTCCAGATAGAAGTGCTGACGTTATTATAAAGATCTATTACTGTTTAGTAGCCTTGTAGATATGTGCGTAACTTCTTTTCAATGACTACTTTTATCTGTTTACTAGGACTTTTTAGACGTAAATGAAAAAAAACCACAAGATGAATTAAATTCATAGTTTAAAACCATTTTTTGTTTGCCCAAGCGAGAATTTCACTGGTATTGTGTAATTTAACCAACCGGTTTCGTGGTTATCAACTTGTAAGCCGAACTGATGAAACTTTAAACCAAAACTGAAAACATACTGCTTAAAATTCATCCGTTTGGTTCACTTCGGTTTATTGGAAACTAGATTGCTCATTCTGCTTTTATTTCTGGATTGATCAGAAAATTAAAATTCAGATGTTGGAATTGGATGAATAGCAATCAGAATTCCATAGATTGACCAGTTTTCTATGAAGTGATGCTTACGCTTTATTACAATCATTATATGGTGTGATCAATTTCAAATATGTTTCTGTTTTTTGAGAAATTATTATGTGCGGAGTCCAAATGGTTCTTCCCATCCAGATTCCGCGCAGAATAATTTCTCCTGTTTTCGTGGCACAATATAGTCATCACGTAATTCCATTACTTGCTAAGTTCCTTCTACTGTAATTAAGGAATCTGATATACTCTTTGGGTTTCAAATTTCACGGCGTCAAGTTGTTCTTCATCATGTCATGCTTTTTATTTTGACAATACTTCTCTGCGTAACATCATTCAAATACAGCTTATCTTACTATTCTCGTGGACAAAATTGTGTAGTAACATGGCTGGTTAGCTGTTCATATTCCCAGTTCAGAGAATCTCAAGCACCCAAGTGTTGTGTATCTTTGTCTACTTTTTACAACGAGACGATAGTTCCATGTCCTACTTGTAGCTGTGGTTGTCAAGGATCACCAGAAGCGCCAAAATGTGCCAAGTAAGCATCTCAGAAAACCATTTCTTCTATAGAAAATTGTGGTTAAATCAGCTTAGTCTGTCTTTGTCTTGTAACAGCGATGGCCAACATCCCACATTTTTGCAGTTGCCTCAAGGTTATGATGATCCTGTACCTGATATCGTTATGTGCACAAGACATATGTGCCCAATCCGTGTACACTGGCATCTCAAGCTTAGTTATAAGGAGTATTGGAGAGTTAAAGTGACTATCAACAACTTCAATATGCTGAAGAACTATAGTGACTGGACTCTAGTGGTGCAACACCCCAATCTGCAAAGCCTAACTCAAGTCTTCAGTTTCAACTATAAACCTCTCATCCAGTATAATACTATTAGTATGTTTCAACTTTCAATCCAGTTGAAGTTCAGTCTTGAAATGTTTTATTATTTTTTGTCACTAAGCTCCTATACCTAGTGAGAAAAGGATCATAATGATTCATTGACTCTCTATAAAAGATTAAAATAGTCCCTAACTATATCAAAAGACTATTTTAATCTCAAAACTCTTTAAAAAGGAATCAGAATTATTCTATCATGAGATTATTTTGATTCATTTTTAAAGACTTGAGAGACCAAAATGATTCTTTAATATAGTTGGAGATTATTTTGTCCCTTCATAAAGAGTCAAATGTCCAAATATACCTAGTTGAATCCTCATTGATCTTGATTTCTTTATTTATTTTGTGACACTAGTTAAAGTGTTCGTGCATCAAATCAAAGCAATTTGGTCCATTTGAAATATATCATTCAATTCAATAATGATAATTGTCATCGCAATGTTCTCTTGCAACAATAATGATGGCAAGTTTCCGTAAATCAAAAATATATGTTTTTATATTATTCTTAACAAAACTCTTTTTCAATTAAAATGAAATAAGCCAAAATCATATAGTATATGCATTATTTGATATAGTATGAATTTATTTGTTAAATAATGTTCCTATATGTATATTTCCTATTTTTCTTCTATCATTTAAAGTTGTCTTTATGACGGATCAATCATTTGCTTGAATTTAAACTTGAATGTTCAACATATTTTGTTTGTTCAGAGTCAATAAGTGACATTAATGGTTTAGATTAAAAGTGAATATTATAATGTTTGGATCTCCTAATGGCTTCCTAGTAGTTCCAAAGATGACTTGTTTGTCAACTACATGGAATCTTTTAGAAAGCCTTAAGCACTCCAAATGTTAAATTCATGTAATAATGATGCTGGCTGATCTCCTTAACCATTTCTTTCTATTGTTTATTCATATTATAGCATTTTGAAACGATTTTTTGCAGATGACACTGGAGTGTTCTGGGGAATTAAGTACTACAATGACCTGCTGCTGCAGCAAGGTGAGTTTGGGAATGTGCAGACCGAAATATTGCTTAAAAAGGACCCTGCTATTTTCACATTTCAGGGAGGATGGCCATTTCCGAGGAAGATATCTTTCAATGGCCAAGAATGTGTGATGCCGACGCCGGATGAATATCCTTCCTTGCCGCGAGGTAGCACTGCTTCTCCACCTCCTGATGGCCACCTCTGCCATGGATTGGCTCTGTTGGTATCCTTCACAGTATTTCTGTTGATCCAGGCAAGCATTAATTAGTACTCGGTTTTTTTTTTTTTTGCCCATATTGTTTTGGTTTTGTCAATCCTCTTGAAAATCAGGAGTGAAATAGTTCCTATGTAGTAAATCTGTTTGTCTCTGCTTTATGTTTATGAAATCTTACATAGTTTTGTGAATTTTTTGGTTTTTCCATGGAAAAACATCTTGATTTTTCAGCTGCAAAACTAACTACAAGATTATTTTGCAGCTATTCATAATAATAATGAGAAATTATTTAGTGCGGAGACCGGATGCAGAATATTTTACGGAGAGCAGCCAGAATGCGCCAAGTCAGTAGTACCGAGTTGCGGTACCGAGCAAGAGGTGACGTGGCGCATTCTAGTTAATATCCGGATGACGTTCGGCGTCTGCACAGAATAATTAATCTAATATTAGAGAGGCGGCTTGGGATCAATTTGTTTCTATTCTTTTGCAAAATGTTTGTTTTAGGTCAAATATTTTGAGCAAAATTTTATTAGGATGGGTTTTATAATTATTGAATTTATTTTAAGATAATTGTGATATAAATTTATTATATTTTGATTAAAAATAAATATAATAATTATAAAATATATTTTGACTCAATTTTTACTCAATATTTTTAACTAAAATCTCCTTCATTGCGATAGTAGGCAAGGAGGTTTTTTGTTTCCCTTATCTTTCTTTTATTATTTGTTCACCAACTCAGCATTCCAGCACAAGGATCATTCTAACATCTGACGACAATACTATCTTTGTGAATTCTTATGGCGAAAAGATGTTCCCATATTTTCATCACTAAGCTTAATCTAAAGTTTAAGATAAGTTGTCTTAGGTGCCTGTTTGGGACGGCTGTAGCTTTTATAAACTTTATAGTGAAGTTGTGAGAAAAGCAACTTAGAGTTCGTTTGGGATGGTTGTAATTTTTTTTAGTAGTTGTTTGCGATTATGGTCATTTTGCAAATAGTGATTGTTGTTTGCGAAGTAAGATATTGAGAAAGCTATCTTAAATAGACTCTTAGATTTTGTTTGAGATGGTTTTCTCCTGCTTCTTAAAGTAGCTTTTTAATGCAAAATTTAATTTTTTGTACTAAAAAACTGCTTTAAGAAGCAGTAAGAAAGTCATCCCAAACGAAAAGTTTTAGTCTATCAAAATATTCATATTTGATAATGTCTTGATAGAGTAGCTACAAGGGTCATAATCATATAATGCCAATGGTGATGATTATGGTCATTTGGATGATTTGTTAACTAGTAAATCTAGGTATAATTTTGTTGGAGAATGCTGGAGAATATTATTAGCAGGCTCAGAATTAAAGCTGTGTGTGTAGTGGTCCGTTTTTTTAGATTAAGCTTAAGCTGTTCTTGAAATACACCAATATATATTATAAATATATATATTTATAAATATATATATATATATATATAATTCGCTATAAATTTGTTATAGGTGTTATGTATTGAGGACCCATTGTAATAGCTTCCAAGCCCATGAATAAATGGAAATAAGGATTCATGTAGCTCTCTCTCTCTAAAGAAGCTTTGGTTTCCTCATGTAAGAAACTCAACAAGTGGTATTAGAGCCTCGTTGAGGCGACTCGGGAAGGAAGATTCTCTTTTTTGTCCAAAAAAAGGGAAGTCGGATAGTGTACGATCGATCAGAGTAGTCTGTACATGTAAGGAGCAAGAAAAGTGCGCGGCATGGGGCTCGACAGTGGAACACGTACACGATCGCGTGCTGCAGTTTACTTGAAATAAGGGACCGCGGGCTACGAGTTGGAGCGCGATTTCGCTTGGAACAATGGGTGAGGCAGCGCAGGCTTCATTCGAACAGGAGAAACAACAAGTTGTTCATGATTTGCACGAGAAGCAAGGAGTCGAGTTGTTCTTTGACAGTAGCGCGGAGTGGAGCCACGGCGCATTTCACGCGGATCAGACCGCATGCATGGAAGTTGGACGTACACTTTTGTGCATGGGATGTATTTCGGTGGAGACATAAGGTGTGTGCGTCGAAGCAATATAATCAAAATTTGCACGATCAAGAATGGTGGCTCGTGCGAAGTCACATGTTGGAGTATGCATGGGTGCCACGGGGAAGACTGGCGAGCCAGAGAATGCTCGATGTTGGAGTGCGGGTGTACCGTGCAGAAGCTAATGCGTGGGCCAGAAGCATGCATGAGCAGGCAATGTACAAGGTACGTACGGGCGTATAGATCACGGGAGGAGTAATGACCGGTGTGCAGTGGAGCTATGGACCGGAACACATAGTGGAGGCCGTTCACCAGCGGGATTGGGCTCTATTCGGCGGATTTGCTCGTGGAGTTATTGCAGGGAACTAGTCAAATCGCAGCTAGCGCAATGTGGTTCTCTGGTTGTCAAATTGGACCAAGATGTATATTGTTGTGTAGTGATCCGATTTTAGATTAGGTTGTTCTTGCAAGACACCGCAACATGTATATATCCCTATAAATAGGTTATAGGTGGATGTATTGAGGGCCCCCTTGTAATAGCTCCAAGTCCATGAATAAAATGAATAAGAGATTCCTGCAGCTCCATTCTTCCCTCCCCCTCTCTCTCTCTCTCTCTCTCTCTTGTGCAAGAAGCTCAATCTTCCTCATACAAGAAACGCAACAAGGTGGCTAATTGCAACAATTATGTGAAGAGGCAGACAATTGCGGCTAGGGGTGTATGGTCATGCTAATGCATCATCTAATTTAGGCTTGACTTGATAAACAGCTTGGGAGATGAGCTCCATAATTTAATGAGTCAAATTTGAGCTAGCCCTACCTTGACTCATTAGCTTGTGAACCATCTAATTTAAAAAAATATTAATATAAAATACATTTAAAGAATATTAGAATTAAAAATTTTAAGTTCAAATTTATGTAAAATATTTTAAACAATGTATTTATTCCTTATCTCAAATAATTTTTTTAATTATTTCTACTTTAAATTTTCTTTCTTTTTACTATTTTTATTGCATTAGCTATTTGAATTAGAAAGATGATCTTTCATAATAAATAAGCATGCAAATGAGCTGATTATAACTCATAAAACTAAAGCATTAAACTTTAGCTCTACCTCGAACTTGATTAATTAATCAAATTTGAACTCGATAATGCAGTGGCTTGAGCTCTACTAGACTTTTATATATCTATAGCTTTAACAATAATTACATCATGAAATAATAATTGACTTCTGACTATATATGAAAGGCCCATAGTTGGTGGCTTGACCAACCAAGAAAAAAGTGTACTATAGATCTAAGGCTCATGGGTTGCAAAACAAGAAAAATGAAAATACATGGCACATGAATTCAAGGCATACTTAGGAAATATTTTTTAATTGTATTCATTACTCTTTCTAAAGGTATATAGGCTCCCAATATGACCTAGACAACTTGATGTATTGTCCCAAAATTTGACCTTTTTTATTCTAACTTAAAGCTTTTTTTTTTCTTCGTCCTTTATGTCTCAGAGTTACGGCTTCTTTACAAAAAAGTCAACAATCATGAATAGACAGAAGCAAACTAATTCCATCAAAAGAAAACTCTCAGGAGTTACAAATCATCTAAAGTGATCTTAAATTAAGAAGACTTAGAAAGAAAAATGAGAACTTTATCATCGTGTTCATCATCCAAATCTTGAGACCCAAAGCTTACTCATTAGGATGAAGGAGACCCGTGATCATTTCATATCTATGGAACTCCATGATATCAAGTTAAAAATCTCAACCATCAAATAAAGTTAACCTATCCTATCATTCATTGAAGATTTTGTAACTAAAGTTAGATTACTATCCATATCTTAATATGAAATCTAGTGAAAATGATGTGATTCTAAAATAGTATATATTACAAGAAATGATCTTCAATTATCTTCCATATTTGAAGTTGAAATTTGCTCTGGTTCACATCCAAATATTGGACAACGAAATAATGAACTATATTAATGAAGCCTTCTACCTTATACAAATTAAAAAATAGGACGATAATGTCAGAAAAATCCTAAACTCCGAAGAGTCAATTATGAAAATCTTAGAAAGTAGAAATTTAAGATGATTGATTTATTTACATTGACCATTCCAAAAAATAAATAAATACATTGACCCTTCCGAAGATGATGGGCAAAAATTTCATCATAAATGTTATCTATGATGCAACTATTACAAGATAAAGAAGCATACCATAAAAAATTCTTAGAAACCTTGTGAAAGACCACAAGGCTATAGTGGATATAAAAATAAGTCAATCAAAATGGCATGCTCTTTTCTCCTAAATAGAAAACCTCAACTTAGGAGAAATTAACAAGTTAAAAAGCTTTCCCAACTCTTCAAAAAGAAGAGATTATTACGTGCGGAGTCTGAATACATAGCCATTTGATTTTGTGACTATGAACAATAAGAGTGTAATAGTGAGCAGTAAAAGCAACTGGTGAACAGTAACATCGCTTTTACTGTTCACAGTCATAAAACATAACAATTTTCTGTATCCAAACTCCGCACATAATAATCTCCCAAAAAAATCATATAGATTATGTTCTCTAACTCAAATGTTTAAATCCTTACGATTTTAATGCCTTAAAAAACTTCTCCAATGTTTGGATAAAAGTCTCAAATATTATATATCACTTGATTAACTGTATTAATATCCTCTAACCTACCAACCATATTATGATAATAAAAAGGATTAAATTAATTAATGGCTTCTTAACCATCGTTGCAATTTAAGAGAATTATTTTATTTTCCCTTCATTTACCGTCATCAGCTTACTACATATCTCTAACCTTACTATATACATTTTATATGCTCATTTATTTTTCTCATGTATATCTATGCACAAAAAAGATAATATTTTGGATTATCATAATAGGTTAGGAAATTTATCTTTTAAAATTCCAAAAAATATTTTCCATTCGTTTTTCAAAAATGTTAATATAAAAATTTTTTATTATAAATTTAAGAGATTGCTAAACATCGTAAATTATGATCACATGCTCCTTTCATATTAATTCACTTTGATATTTGAGAATCCTTTAAAAAGTATATATATATATATATATATTACTAAATAAAAAATTGAAATTGCTAGTGTGATAAAAAAATTAATTTAGTGCCAACATTAAGGAAATCAAAATAAATAATGTTAAAGATTACTTTAATGAAGTCATTATTCATTAATCATATTGTCATGACTATTGTGTGTGGAATTTGTTTGTGTTGATCAATCAGGTTATTTTGTTGTCTTGAACCTCAAAGATTGTCGTGTACACTGAGGGATGCGGGGGGTTTGCCCCTGCTTAGGTTCAGGTGCTTTGCACTTGAATTTTTTTTTTTCCGTACAATGACCTGGCTCAACGTACTTGAGCGCCATGGCAGTTGAAGCCAAAGCTTGAGCACCGCAGCTCTGGGTGTTTGAGCTCTACAGCATTGTCAAATAGACACAAGGCACCACATGACCCCAAACTGGTGTTGCAGCATTACGAGACGGACTGAACAATTATTTTTCTTGTTTTTCTCAAGGGTTGCGTCCCTTCGGGGTTATAACTTACTTTCTCTTGTATTTCCTGAGGATGTAAACATTGAGAAGGGTGCATGTGAGAAGAGAATCAAGGAGTGAGTGGTAGAGAATAAAAATATAACTTATTTTTCCCACTTTTCATACTGAATTTCTTGGTGTGGTGTGGCTCTATAATTTTTTTCTTATTTTGGAGTTTTCTAAATTAAATTCTGATATCCTTTACTTTTTTGCTTCTTTTACTTTATTGCTTGTTTTGTCATTGTTGTGTTTGCTCCTCCTCATCATCCCCAACAATCATTTGTATTCATTCATAAATAATAATGAGGTAACACAATATTCCTCCACTTAAAAAGGAGTATAAATGCATCCTCCCACTAACAATTTTAAATTTCAAAAGATATTTAATTTAATGAAACATAATCATTCTGTAATCAAACTTATCTTTAGGGAAGAACAATCAAATAGTAGCTAAGTCTAAGAAACTTGATTTTTTTCAAAAGAAAAATTCTATATCTCACAATAATTGTAAAATATTTTGCTATTCTCATGTTTGTTCTATAGCTATTTTTCCAAACAGCTATAGTGATGGGGACATCAGATCATCATGGAAAGTTTACCAGCGACGTGGTCGCCGATCTTCGGCCACGATCGAGTCTTTGTATTTTTGAGTTGATGTATTTTATTTTCATGCATTTTATTATTTGCTTATGTGTGTTTTATTATTTCCCGTTGTACCCCTTTTTATGGGAGTTGTCATTTGTAAGCCTAAGGACATTTGTGTCATGTTATTTGGAGTCTTTTGTATGAGGCTATTTAAAGCCCCCTTTGTATTATTTTGAGGTTAAGGAATGATTATTGAAAATTTTCCTGCATGTGTGTTTGAGAGCATTGAGAATTCTTGGAGAGTTTTGAGAGATCCTTTGGAGAGGGATCTTGGCGTATCACCCACCAACCTTGGAGACGGACGGGTTCGTGGTTTTATTTCTTTTATCTTGTCTTCATCCCTTCCCGTTCATCTCTCTCTTCCCACATCCCACCACCGCCGGCCATAGCCCAGCCTTTCCCATTCAACTCCACTGTTTCCTCCTACCCGAGCGCCCCCCTCCCCTCACGGGATCGCCAGCCATCTACCCACATCCCGCCGGCCACCTTACCTCATCGTCCCCTTGAGTTTCCTAATTAGGTATGAGTGGGTTTGGGATATTTTGAAAGTTCAAATCTTTGAATTTTGAATTTCGAAATCCATCCCAAAACAACTCTTCTAATTTAAGAAAGTTTCTATTTTTGATCTAAATTGAATTTAAATTTCAATTGGATTTAAAATAACTATTTCCTAAATTCAAAACTTCAGTTAAGAAACTTTAATTGCTCTAATTAAAGCCTCTCTTGACCATGCATGCCACCGGCCACTTATTTGAGCAAGTTAGGATATATTTCCTAATTGCACCCTAGACTACTTTGGAAATAATTTAACTTATTTCTTTTGCCTGGGCCGAATTTTCTTTCTTGCCTTGTTTTAATTATTCCCTAATGCTAGAGTTTTAACTTGGGAAACAAGGCCCCACCCTCTTCTCTAGGAACAATTATTACGTCCTCTGACCTGACGTAGAGGTACGTTCGGCCGCCAATAACATGTCGCCACGTGCTTTTACTCTTTACCGCGCGGCCCGACGACTTGACCCGGAGCGGAACCCGGGAATGCTATGTTCGCGATTTTCTCGGTATTGCTCGGTATTGCTTTGAAAAAATGAGAAATACCGCTCTGTGAACACCAAAAATATACAAATACCGAGTTGTACCGAGTTTTTCTACAACTCGGTACAAGTCGGTACAACTCGGTATTTGCTCCGGATTTGCTCGGTATTGCTACGGATTTGCTCGGTATTGCTAGGTATTTGCTCGGTATTGCTAGAAAAAACTCGGTACAACTCAGAATTTGCTCAGGATTTGCTCGGTATTGCTAAGGATTTGCTCGGTATTGCTAGGTATTTGCTCGGTATTGCTAGAAAAAACTCGGTATTTGCTCAGGATTTGCTCGGTATTGCTAGGGATTTGCTCGGTATTGCTAGGTATTTACTCGGTATTGCTAGAAAAAACTAGGTACAACTCGGTATTTGCTAGATATTTAAAATATATCCAAAAGGTGATGGAATGTTGATCGGCTCGTCAAGGAATTAAAAAAACGCACGCGCTAGAACCCAAAAAACAGCGGGTCGGGTCGACGACTTTTCTTCGTGCTACGTGGCGCTAAAAGGTTGGTGGCCGAAGATAGAGGAGCGTACGTTCACCGAACCAAATAATTGTTCCTTCTCTAGCCCGCCAACTCCCTCTCCCTGTCACCGCCTCTTCCCTCTTCTAATTGCATGAAATAAATCCTCTTCCAAAATCTGTACAGGAGGCTTGCTCTCAACTTTTCCTTCACAACTAAGGCTAAGCTCTCCTCCACATTCCCTACATCCTAGCCCATTAGAAACTGAGAAATCCATCTCAGATTTTCTTGATTGATAATCTGAAACTATTTTCAGATTGTAAGAGAAGAGGTTTGAGAACGCAATCCTATCCTTTACCAAGAGAAACTTCTTCCTCCTTGTCACTACGTAAGAGGCACATCAAATACTCAGGGACCTTCTCCATTGTGACGGAGACCATGGACGAAGACGTTGAAGGCATCGCATGACGGATCTCCACATCTTTTTGGCGAAGGTTTCTTTTCTCACTTGTATCTTATTTCTTTGGAATCTAAATTCTCAATTGGTTTGATTGTATTCACGAAAGCTCCTCCCAGTGCTCTTGCTATGCTTAGTCACTCGTAGGAATTGAGCGTACCTTCTATGCATCCTACATCTCGTTGTTAGATTAGGGATTAACTTGAAGCCTACTATTTTGCGTTGTTTGATTTTTCTTATTTATTTTTGAAAGCTTCAAAGCTCAGAGCATGTAATCTCACCTAAGCAAAGCATTTCCTCAGTTGTTTTGAATCATCGTGAGAATTTCTAATAATTGTTTTCTAGATTTATTATAATCTCTAAATTGTGCAATGTCTAAATGAATGCATAATCATCCCATCTAAGTAGTCCTGCATCATATAGACTATGTTTATTAAACTAAGCAAAGTCCATATAAGAAAGATGAGCTCATCCAAGCCCTCTTGCATGTTCAAAACCAAAGTTGTAAGATAAATTTATCACCTCTTATAGCTATGATCTCGATCAATTGCTATACAAAAAGGTATTAAAAAATATACTAAACATCCCCTATAGCCCATAACCAAGTACTCATCCTTTGAGAACTTCTCTCATATACATAAAGCATTCCATACAGTAAACATCTTAATAGTAAAGCCCACAGCAACAAAACATAACCCATCCCTTCCAGATTCCATGAAATGATGTTACCATCTAGGCCATGAAGTCACGTATACACGATAAATTATTGTGTGGAGATCGAATGCAGAATGCTGTCCGTAAATCAATCAGAATGTGCCACATCAGCAGTACATAGCAGCGATATCGATCGGTACCGAACAGTACCGACCCACGGTACTGAGCGAAAGGGTGATGTGGCGCATTCTGATTGACCTCTAGATAGTGTTCGACGTCCGCACAAAATCATTAATCGACATACACACATTACTTTATTTTGTTCGGAAAGACAATCAACTCATCAATACATTCAAAAACTTTGCCATCACAACTTCAAAAATATTCTGAAAAAACTAAAAATATCAGATCTCTACCATAAGGGAGAGTGTTGAAGCCATAAAAGAAGGTTTTTGGCAGGTAGAGCCAAACAGGTGCAACAATATTTGCAGGATGAATTACTCATTGAACGCAATCCAATGGATTGGTGAGCAGTAAAGATTAATGGAAACATTTGGCTTGAAAGGGCATGTTGAAGCTTGTAACCGACTTCACAGTTCACCCAACAGAAATCCAGACTTGCTTAATAACAAACCACCAACAAAGTTATAGAAAATAACAAATACATAAGACTTAACGGTTCACCCACAGAATTCCCAGACTTGGCTACATAAAAAGCTACCATAGTCGATTATCTCATCTCTTGAGTCCAAGTAACATTAGTATAATCCCAATGTAGTAAAACCTGTAAATATACCTGATGAACTGGAGCTTCCACTCGTTCCAAGGAGGGTATCTACATGAGAGTTCTATGAGAAAGCTTCTTCTCAATATGGCTTTTCCATGGCTGAACTGGTCGAAGGAGAACTTTCCGTGGTACTTTCCGAAACCGCTTTCACCAGTTCCACCAAATGGTAATGAATCTACTGCAAACTGTGCAACAAGTTTTTTCTCAAATGGTTAAGCATTTACTGCTTCTAAAATTAAGAAAGTTAGAGGAAGAAAAAAGAAGAATACTTGTAACATTGCATCATTAAAAGTAATGCTTCCTGATGATGTTTCTTCGATGACTCTCCTCTTCAACTTCTCATCGACGGTGAAGGCGTAAATGACGAGAGGCTTCGGCCTTACCTTCAGAAACTCAATGCTATCTTCAATCTTCTTTAGCTGTGAATGAGATGAGCAGCTGTGTGAAGCTTAAATGATTTTCAGTGGCTGTTTGGTTTTAATATTTCTGTATGTAATGCTGTGTTTTGCTTTCTAAAAATGAAATGTGTTTAGTATGACATTATCTTCTGCATTGAAGTATGATTGTCAGAGTAATTTAGATAGAGATAACATCCAAATAAGTCAAATATCTAGATAACGCTACTATTATTATGGACATAAACCGTAAATCAAACACAGAACATTTGACCAACAAAACTACAATCCAAATAATGCTAATATCCAAAAAATAATGGCATTTAGACAACATGAATGATAGAAGATCTATATTTCTTTTCAAATAACACTTAGCTTCATATCTTACTGTGATTACAGGAAGCAAGGGTCCAAAAATCTCCTCTCTCATGATCTCAGAGTCTAAAGGAGGATTTAGAAGAATGGTGGGCTCGATTAACCTACAAGAATTGATGTGCAATTATTATTATCTTATGAAAAAAGTGTTGGTGGATGGGAAAGATAGATAAAAGGGAAAACTTCAGGCATTACAGGCTTTCAGCATTGAAGGAACCACCATACACAACAGAGGCAGCAACTGCCGAGTCGTTGAGAAAGTTGCTCAGTCTTTGAAAATGTTGCTTGTGAACAATCCTTGCAGAGTTTTCAGGATCTTTGTACGTTTTCTTGATCTTTGCCTTGAGTAAATCAACCTACAGGATGCAGCAATGTACTATTAAAGTATTTGGAAGTGCCGGGTTTAATCTCATATTAGATATATTTAATGAACAAATATCAAAAGATTGGCCTTTACCCCTCCCGCACTTAAACTTTTGGGCTAAAAATGACTTTGATCATTGGTGTGTCAATCCTAACTTATACCACACTATTTAACAAGTGATATCATATCCAATGATTTGACTAGAATTGAGAAGTTCATTGGGTTTTTGGGTCTCATGGGTCTTTAGTATTTTCCATCATGTTGATCAAGGTTTAAGAAAGAGTAACTCCCACAACAACTTCACATGATTGTATTGGCTCTTGGTGTATAATACTTAGGCTTCGTTTGGTTTCTTTGTCGTTTCGGTTTTAAAAACGTCAATAGGAGAAATGGAATTTTTTAAACGGAGAAGCTAATACATAACGCTTCTCAAAACAGTAGAGAAATTGAGTTTCTTAAAAAGTATGCCTCACATCCAAACATGTTCCGTCAACTGAGTTTTCCGTTTCAAACCAAAAAACGGAGGAATTACGTGGAACCAAATGAGCCCTTAATGTTCTTAAAAACCTTTCATGTGAGGTGGAGTGATGGAAACTGTGAAGATATCTGAGATTATGAGAATTGTTTTAATAAGGTTTTCTAAGCACATATCTGCTATGTAAATAATGCAAATGATAATAACTCTTACAATATTTGGACTGATAACCGACTGTAAAGTTTGACTTAAGATTGATCAAGATACCTATCAATTCAAGCATACATTTGAAATGTGAATGGGTAATGATTAGATAATCATAAATTGAATGCTTTTAATTTAGAATAATATGAATTTTTTGTTTAATGTAGTATGGCTTTTCGCATACAGAAGGGTTACCAAAAGCGGGGCGAATTGCTCTTCCACGAGCAAATAATCAATTGCTATGCATGCTTGGCCACTGCAAGGACCCCACTTCGCTCCAGCCACTCTGTTTATAGTAACCTATGCATCAAATATACAAGGAAAAACAAAATATTATAAGACAACTTGACCAAAATAAAAACATGCATGATTTTCATATTATTCAAGCACACTTTTTGCAAATCTTTAAGAACATCTTCTATCCATAAATCTTACTTATCCTTCTTTTTCATTAGTCTTTGACACTAATTTTATCAACTTGCCTACTAGGCATACTTTCTACCCTTGATTGCATATGTTCAAATCACCTAAGCTTATTTTCAACCACCTAATCTTTAATAGATTTCACTGTAATATTTTCGCGAACATGATCATTCTTTAATTTATCCTTTTTTAATTTTGCCATATATCCATTTTAATATTTACAATTTTACAACACTCAACTTAAATATCAATGACTTTTTTATAACTCAATATTTGGATCCATAAAACATATCAACCTAATTGTGATTTTAAATTTATATTTAATTTTTCATGATACCCTCTTATCATACAACTTCTAAGACGCTTATTTATTTTAATTAGCCAACTTTGATTTTAAAAGTTATATAATCATCTATATCCCTATTTTTCATATAATAGATCTAAAAAATTAAAACCTGTCACACATATGTAACACCTTATCTTTTGATAACTTTGTATAATAATTATTAACATAATGCTAACTAAAATTAAATATCATAACTCAATTTTTTATCTATGAATTTCATCATCTTTATTTTTATAACTATCTTACTTCAAAGTGATTTCAATGGATGCCTCGCCAATTTAGAACTATGCACAAAGTGGCTGGCTTTAAATACCATTTATAAGTTCCAACATAATTAATACAAAAAAATATGGATTCAATGTTGATCATTGATCTAAACTATTTTTAATTCTAGTCAATGTTTCATCGCATAGCTTTACTAATAAGTATATTTGACAGACACCTTGTTGCGTCCAAGTATACCAAATAATTTCTTGTGATAGATCGTATGCCTTCTCATGGTTCATAAAAATCATATCCTTTTTATTCTCTACATTTCTTCATTTTCCTTCATAAACCTTTGAAACTAGCCATCTTATCCCGTAATGTGTTTGGCTCAACTAACAAATTCCAATGTGGCTCTTTTAGCTAGGAGTGCGCATTTGATTGATTTAGTTTGTTCACTTTATGTGGGCTCCAAAAATTTGTGCCCTAGCACGACCCTCATTCGAGAGAGTTTTAACAAATTAGGCTCTAGGATAAATTATTAGAAGGCATATTGGGTTTGAAATAATACACTACCCAAATATTTCACCCTCATTCTGAGTTTTGGTTTCCTATGGCGCAAGCCCCTATAGTTAATTACCCCTCCCAATAACGAGAGAGAATTTTTTATTAAGGCTAGTCGTCAATCAGATACATAAAGAATACGTGTCATCCGGTGTATAGCAGCAGCATGGGTTGATATATTTGAGAGAATTATTTTTTAAAATTTGAAATTTCATCATCTTGCACTTAAAGCGGATGGTAGGAGAATGGATGATGGACCCAATCAAGATCTTATGGTTCCGTCATCCCGAGTCATTATGGTCATTGGTCTACTTAATCAAAGGAGGTAGTTGACCCAACCTGACAGAAGGATCCTTGTCGACAGCCATGGGTTGCATTGTCTAAGGGAAACTTGTAGTCCTAGGATGAGTATTTGCCTAAGGGGACAAAACTGGACCCACCTTAGCTACCAGAGAGCTTTGTGCCCTATCGATTATATCCTATTAATTTATATCTCAAGGATTTAATACCATTGGGGAACATACGGGCTATGACCATAATTGTAATACAATTGAGTCGTTAGACCAGGCAACTAGGTTAGAGGGTCGCGATCCTAATCGTTAACCACATGGAGCCGATATGGCCAGGCCACGGGTTCTTTGAGGAGCCATATGGAAAAACTATCAATCAAAAGATCAATGTCACGCCTTTACTGGCAGGAGACTGTTTGAGAATAAATCCTAATGATATTCTCAACCAGATATTAGCTCTTTGTGAGCTAAAGTAATTTTAATATTTGTTCATCTCGACAAACTGTTAAGGAGGTGGATGAGTTTTGCTTCAAGAGTTTTGAAGTAGCATGCCAAGTAGTATCTAACACTAACACAACAAGTGATTAATGAAGATATGGTTAATAACATATAAGACAGTTATTATCTACAAAGTATTCACACACATGCTCTCTACCTTAATTAGCTACACATCTTCCATTGAATATGTAACATGATGTGGAAACATATATATATATTCATCAAATCCATAGGTTTTGCATTGAGTAGGTGATTTTGCAATCTAAAACATGCATATAAACTTTCAAATGGGCCTACATGACTGGCGTAAATGCAGACAAATGAAATGTAGGCATACTTTATTTGCATCTATGCTTGCCCAGAGTATTAAAATCCTATGCATTTACATCATTTGGAGCACAAACATAAGAACTTTTCAAATCTCATTAATGATCAATTCTAAACATGCCATCATATACAAATTTCTCCGATCAATCATAAATGATGCAACTATGAAGCTATATAAATGCTTTGTATACAACCACCACTCATAGCATGATCAAGAAACACATACATGCGAGCTTGTTAGCTTAGATACAAATCTCTGCACCGCATAGTTTCAAACATGCTTGTGAAACTTTTCAATAATGCTTATAAATTTTACTTAATAAAGCTTATAAAATTTACTTAATATTGATTGTATATGTAACATTGAGGTTCAATTTTTCAAATGTGAACAACTCACATATGTTACCTTTTAATAAATCAAGATAAGTAGAGTGATGTTTAACATTTATACAATGAATACTTACCAATAATATGATTTGATTGAACATAAAACAAGTATCATTCATGAGATATTCACATGAGATGTCTTCTACCTTGATTAGCGTACAAATTCTCTATTGAATGGATGGACATGATATTAAAAGAATAGAGAAATGTGCATATTTAGGCTTTGAAAAAAGCTACAAATCTTTGAATTGAATAGGTGAGTTGATTGCATTCATATTAACAACCAACACAAAAATACATATGAGATCTTCTAATGTAGTCAAATGAATACATGGTGTTGGAACATAATCTTGAATACGCACATTTCTACATATTGAACTTTGCTAAGCATGCTTACACTATCGGTGTCATGAGAAAAGTTATTCACCAAGCAACACAAGAAGGCACACATCTTGCACCCTAAGAAGCACATGAAACATATCTCCAATGTAACAATTTGACATTTATATTGTACATGGATATATGCATACCTTTACCATGCACAAAGCACATATCTAAACTTAATGCGAGCATCAAAATATAAAATGTATATTCAAACATATAGAGAATCCTCCAAAAGAAGAATTTCATGTATGTGGACTATTGCACAGCGACATGAATTCATATATAAACTTCTTCTACTCAATCATGAATCACACTATGATAAAGTTGCATGAGTATTTTACATGGAACCATTTATAGAATAATCCAAATACCGGTATGTGTTGGAACTCTTTTTTATTTTGAAACAAATCATAAAGTAATTCATATATAGATTTGCATATGATCTTTCTGTAAACTAAACATAAATTATATGAATGCATGACTAATTCTGATTAAATACTATTCAAGAGATATAACATCGCTTCTCGATAACAAACTATAAAACCACCTCAAGAAAGATTTTTCACAAAATATGTTGTCTATTTATGTTTTGTCACAAACAGTGATTGGAAGAGTTAACCAAATATCACTTATCACAACCATGCATATGTATTTCTCTCTATCACGCATTTTGAGAAAGAGAACAACAAGAGGCTATTGCTTACAGGTATCATGAAAAGGCAACCACTTAAGGCATTCATACGTACATGGCAAGTGAAAATACCTCAAAAGAAAAAGATAGATCACAAGGAATGAGTCATTATTTAACCTTACAATTGTAAATTTTTTACGATAGCAAGAATGCCAATCTAAATTTAGTCCACCTATAAAGAAAATGTGTCTTATATTTTGCATTTTAGAATTCATTGTTGTGTTATTTAATTAGGCTTAGGCTTCATTTGGGACGGCTTACTGTTTCATAATCAGCTTTTTATTACAAAAACTAAATTTTTGTACTAAGAAGCTGCTATAAGCAACAGTAAAAAAGCCGTCTCAAATGAAGCCTTAGACTATGGGAAAACTTAATGTAGAAATTTACAATTGTAAGGTAAAAATTGGGGAAAAAAGACGTGGAATACATAGATGTAAATAGAGATAATGCTTCAAAAAAAAAAAGGAAAATTTTCCAACACAAAAACTATAAGAGGAGTTGAGGCTTTATTATTGTATCAGCAAACCTCTATATCTCTTGCTCTTGAGAGGGTATCTATAATAGCAGGGCATTTTCCTCCCAGTTCAAGAGTGACTGGAGTCAGATGCTTAGCAGCAGCAGTCATAATAATGCGTCCAACTCTCGAGCTCCCTAGGAAAGAAAAAAGGAGGCTTCAATAGGATACTCATTTGAACAAGAAGATCCTAATGATAGTTCAGTAGTTACCAGTGAAGAATATCTTATCCCATTTGTGCTCCAAGAGTTGCTCTCCGATGTGAGAAGCTCCTTCCACAACCTTCACAGAATTATCCAAATACTTGGGCAGGTTGGTTGCCAGAAACGCAGAGGAAGCAGGAGCAAGTTCTGAGGGTTTCAAGACTACAGCATTTCCAGCTGCTATAGCTCCAACCAGAGGCTCAAACGACAACCCTGCATAGAATAAACATTTTGTATTGCTAAAATGTTAACGTTTAAAGAGTATTTTAATGTAATTTTGATTTAAAATTGAGTTGGTATGTTAGAAAAGTTATTGTAATTTGAGGATATTAATGTTTTCTTTGGTTGTGTACAAAAGATCAAAATTTTGAGGCGATAAGAGTAAGGAAATCCGTTCTAAGGCCAATCTACTATTTGTAGTGTAATACTCAATCTCTAATATAGAGAGCAAAGTATTCTAAGTATAATGCTTGTTACTACTTTCAATGATATTGGACTTGAATATAAATAACTTTCGTTATGAATAATTGGTTTTATAATTTTTTAGTGAAAAATATTTTAAAAGCAACAAAAAAAAACTATGGTCAAAAGCTATCCCAAATAAAACCTAAGTGAGACAAATGACTAAGGATATGCTAAGAGTAATTTTTCAAAAAGAAAACAAATATTTTTCTACATTGCAGGACAAAGACCTTTTTTGCTCACAAATAACAGCAAAGATTAAAGATGAGAGAGACAGAGAGAGAGAGAAACCTATGGGGAAATTCCATGAAGAGAAAATAAGAACAACACCGAGCGGCTCCGCCACTATTTCTCCGGTGGCTGGAAAGCATACTAACGGGACATCAACCTGAAAGCACAAAAAGCTCTGTCATTTTCTTAATCTGAGCGTAACTCTTCAAATCTGTGTCTAACAATTCGTTGCTTATAAAGCAAACTATATCAGCAAACTCAGTGACCAAAATTCCTTTTTTACTCATCAAATATTATTCTAGCAAACATTATTGATTCTTGGGCCCAAAGGCTCAAATCCTATGCAATCAATACAATTGTCTGTCAAAATCAGGTCATAGGTGAGTTTGGGTCTAACATGGAATTGATTCGTCATTGTTCGACCCAATCAGAACTTGACCCATTTTTGCAAACAGGTCGGCTTTTTGGACCTGAACCCGACCCACTTTGAGTATATTTTACTAAATTTTTTTATTTAATTGATTTATTTAAACCTAAATTGAATAAAGCTAAGATTTACTTCAATCAATTTAAAATAAATCAAGCTTAATTCAATTTGGGCAACATAATTTATTATTTTTTAGAAATAACATTTACTTATTTCATAACAAACTTTTAAAACCATCCTAAATTAATTAAAAACGAGTCAAACAGAGTAATTTAGGTTTCTGGGTCAACCCAAACCTGACCTGGTTTTATAAAATGGTCGAAATCCTTAACATGAACTTGACCCGGTTCAGGTTTGGGTCTGATTTTGTGGGTCGTGTCAAATATTGACTCCTCTCACATTTAGCAAAGATTTAGATTTCATTTGGAACGGCTTTATTATTGTTTCTTAAAATAGCTTTTTAATATTAAAAAAACAACAAAAAACGCTTTCTAGTATAAAAATTAAAATTTATGTACTAAAAAGCTGCTTTAAGAAGTGGGAGAAAAGCCGTCGCAAATGAATCCTTAGTAAAAAAATTGTAGTCAATTCAATCCAAATTAAATCGATCAAACTTAAATTCAACCGGTTCAATTTAGTTATGGATGAATATAAATATAATTTATTTAACTATAAATATAATTATATTTTGTTTGTATAATCTATATTAAAAGAACTAACAAATAATCTTCATAAAAATTTATGATTCTAATAAATAAAATAAATAATAATCATGTTAATCTTTCTTCTTTTTATATATAACTCATCAATTTCATTAATTTAATATTTAAACAATTAGTATAATTTTTTTTTTATTTGTTTACTTTTTATAAAATAAAAAAGCAAAAACAATAATTAAAATTAAAATTACAACCAATAACTGAACTGATATTTAAATAACTCATAAAATTAACTAATTAAAAAAAAAAACTAACCTTTTTTGGTGCCATCCATTTTTTAAGATTTTTAAGCGCGTAATCCACAGATTTGATCAGCAACCCTAGCTGAAATCCCGAATGTAAGTATCATTTCAAGATCTATGTTAGAGAGAGAGATAATCGAAAATTAAATGAAATGAGGGTCGTTAATAAATTGCATCATTAGATAATATAATTAAATTAAACCAATTAATAAAAATATAAAAAGGAGCATATTTTAAACCTAAATTAATTTAAGGAGCATATTAGTGAAAAATTATAAAAATAAATAAATACGAAACTTACTTCTCCAGTTTCTATAAATTATCTCAATATAATTTTATTTGTTTTTTTTTTCAAATTTGAGAAGGAACCGGTACATGAAAATCCGGTTTCTTAAGAAATCAATTTTAAAACATTATTTAACCTATCTTTATCAATTTCTATGAAAAAAAGTAAAATTAATTTAATTTAATTTTTTGAAAAGTTATCATTATTTATAACTGTTAAGAACGGATATAAATTTTATTTAATTTTGATTTTTTAAAATTTGATTTCTTAAGAAACCGAATTTTTATATCTCGGTTTCTTCTCAAATATGAAAATATAAAAAAATTTAAATTAAATTAAATAAGAGTAATTTATAGAAATTCCTTTTTAAAAATTTTCACTAATTTGCTTCTTAAACTAATTTATATTTAAAACATGCCCATTTTTATAAATTGGTCATTAAATTATCAGATAATCTAATAATATTTATCTAATAATTTGATTATAGTAAAGCTTCATTTTTTACAGCTATTTTACTGCTTTTAAATACAATTTTTTAATTAAAAAGCTCATTCTGAAAGCTGTAAAAAACTGTGCCAAACGAAATTTAAGAGAATATAAAAACGCATGAAAAAAAAAAAACGACAATTAGTAACCTCATCTCTGTAAGCTTCGATCCGATGCTTGCCAAGGTCGAGCTTGAGAGCGTTGAAGATGTCGGCCTCCTTCTCGAGGAGAATAGCTTTGAGAGCCCTCAGCTGAGACCTCCTCCAAGAATAACTCCTTGTGACGCCGCTCTCAAACGCTTCTCTTGCCTCCTTCACAACCCTCTTCACCTCCATCCTTCTGAGCTTGACTGTCGCCGGCGCTGCGCTCCACCTCGGCCTCCTCTTCCTCCGCTTAAATAAGGCATTTCCGCTGCACAAATTTAAGGTGAGGTAGGAAACAGGGGGAAAGCACGAGGAGCAATAAATGAGACTTTAATGAACAGTTCAAGCAGTTGCGCTTCTTCCCCTTGCTGTGTTAGTGAGTTCGGCAACTTTTTCTCAATAGGGACTGTTAGGCTTAAAATAAAAGTTCAGGGTTTGGTTTTAAATGAAAACAGGGTTTGGTTTTAAATGAAAGGGAGGGTGTAAATATTCTAAATGCAGTATTTGAAGAGTAGTGAGGTTTTATTTATGAACAATTATTACGTCCTCTGACCTGACGTAGAGCTACGTTCGGCCGCCAATAACATGTCGTCACGTGCTCTTACTCTTTACCGCGCGGCCCGACGACTTGACCCGTAGCGGAACCCGGGAATGCTATGTTCGCGATTTTCTCGGTATTGCTCGGTATTTGCTAGGTATTGCTTTGCAAAAATGAGAAATACCGCTATGTGAAGACCAATACCATGCAAATACCGAGTTGTACCGAGTTTTTCTACAACTCAATACAACTCGGTACAACTTGGTATTTGCTCAGGATTTGCTCGGTATTGCTAGATATTTGCTCGGTATTGCTAGGTATTTGCTCGGTATTGCTAGAAAAAAATCGGTACAACTCAGTATTTTCTTAGGATTTGCTCGGTATTGTTAGGGATTTGCTCGGTATTGCTAGGTATTTGCTCGGTATTGCTAGAAAAAACTAGGTACAACTCGGTATTTGCTTGGTATTGCTAGGTATTTGAAATATATCCAAAAGGTGATGGGTTGCTGTTCGGCTCGTCAAGGATTTAAAAAAACGCACGTGCGAGAACCCAAAAAACAGCGGGTCGGGTAGACGTCTTTTCTTCATGCTACGTGGCGCTAAGACATTGGTGGCCGAACGTAGAGGAGCGTACGTTCACTGGACCGAATAAAAGTTCTTTATTTAGGGGCTATTGGGGTGAAAGAAAAGTGAATGTGACGTATTTAAAATGTATTATTTTTTTGTTTTTTTTTTGGTTTTTGATTGAACGAAAAGTACATATAAGATAAAGTGAATGGACTTTATTCTATTTTAGTTCATTTTTTAGATAAAATCGTTCTCACCCATTCTGACCCAAAAGTATTTACACTGCTCACTCGCTTGCTTGACCACTGTTGATAGCCACTACCGCCGCCCTCTAGCCAATCATCCCGTTGGCGCCACCGAAAATCGCGGCCACCATCCCCCCTCCAAACACCGTCAGCCTCCAATTTTATATCGCATTCACTTTACTTCAAATCAAAAGAAAAAAAAACATTCATTTTAGACACATCCAAAGAACCCAAAAATATTCATTTTCCTTCGCATTCCTTTATCACGCAACCAAGCAACTCCTTAAAATAAATCAAAAGCAGTGTAAATTTTTGATATATTTAAAATTCACTCTTTAGTTCATTTTCAGTGTATTTGAAATTCTAAGATTTGAGTAATTTCTAAATACGCTGGAACACCCTTTGGCTACTGTCGCCCGCTACCACTACTAAACACTGTCATTGACCCCCACCACTATTGCCCGACATCACTACTAACTACCACTACTAGCACCAAGTGTTTCCATAATTGGCGGCCATTGCTATCACCGTGAATCGCCCATCTCCACTATCGTTCGTTGACGGCCACCATCGATCATTGCCAGCCACCACCATTAACCACCACCGTCGCTAGCTACAACCAGTCATACTTTGCAGTTTACACTACATTCATTTTATTTCAAGTCAACCAAAAATAAGGGATCGTAGTTGGCAGGTAACGGTGGTCGAAAGGACCGCAATGAGTGGGCAATAGAGGTCGAAGGGATTGTAATTGGCTAGTGACCGAGGTCGAAGGGATCGACGGGTGGTAGAGGTAGGACAAAGGCCCAATGATGGCTACAAAATGGAGTTATGCTAGCAATGGTAGAGCAAAGATCTAGTGGCGGCGCCCTTGTGGGGAGGATTCGACGACAGTGGTGCTGAGGTTGAATTTTTGAATGCTTCAAGCCTCGAAGCTCTCTTGAGTCTTTAGCCCTTTAAGCCTCCAAATGCTCAAGCCACCAAGCTCCTCCTCATGTGGGAAGATGGAGTCTACTTATATATTTTAAAAGTGGCATGCTCCATAAAATATGGAGAAATCCACGTTAAATTCAGGGTGCTCCATCTGACGTTCCATATTGATTCTCTCGATCATGGAGTGTTTGTTTAGTATTTAGGTGCCTTAATGATGTCAGAATTAAGCGATCTTGAGCTCATTGGATTTGTCTCATCGAGATGAGATGCTAAATTTGACTATAAGCATGTCATATTTGGATATTATTTGGTCATCCAATTAATGCTTTGGAATTTCCGAATATACTTTATGCCCATGATTTTAGCCCATTCGGGCTCGGATTGGATCAATTTTGATGTCGTTGGGATCATCTGACTAGCTATAATTGGAGCTCGGATGGTCCTGCATTTAATTTTGGAATTTGCCAACTAGAATATGTAACAAGATTCATGCTCGATCAATGCGAATTTGGTGATGCATCAACTATTATATAAAAGCTTATTGCACACATAATTGAATATAGACTATATTTCATAGTAGGCACAAAAATTTCTTATGTAAAAAATATGAAATGGAAACTTCATAAATTTTAATTAAATTAAAATAATTCTACTATTATATTGAGAGATAGAATAATCTATTGTGAGCCAAAAATTGTGTTAGTTCATTGTAAAATTTGATTGTGTCAATCAATCGAATTGTACTATTAATTCAGATTTGAATTTCATTGATCGACCTGCGGGTCCATTAAGTCTTTTTTTTTTTTTTTTTTTACAAATTTGCATTTAGTTTTTTCACATTGTTTGTGTTATAAATGTATGGGTTTATGCTCTGGTGTAATGTGAGACATTGAACTCTCTCAATAAGATTCACAATCAGGACTAAAAAAAGTAATTGATGACCAACCATATATAATCTTAGAAGAATTCATCCTAAAAAGTAATCAATGTAGTTTAAAACTTTTAGATATAGTTCTATTGGATTTTCTCATATTCAAATATAAATAATTTTTTTAGTATAAAAATTTGTCTAAAATGTTTTGAAGTAATTTTTTTAGTATAAATTATTTTATTTCTATAAGTTTTTTAACTAAAAAAAATGTTTTAAAAAATGATAAAAAAATTATCCCAAATAAAATCTAAAGCTACAGCTTTATTTGGGATGATATTTTTGTTGCTTCTTAAAGCACCTCTTTAGTACAAAAATTAAAATTTTTATACTAAAAACCTGCTTTAAGAATCAACAAGAAAATTATCCCAAACCAAATCTAATATTGATCCAAATCAATAATTTTCAATAAAATTGCTCAGTTGGATTTTGATTTGATTTACATTTCTATGCTTAATAACATTTTGCTGTTGATTTGTCCTCTATAGAATAAAAACACATCAACTTCATTTTTTTTTACAATTATATCTTCCCTATAAAACTTGCATATTTTTGAAGGACAAGTCAATAATTTTGAATGGTAAATTTCAATTTAGCCGAACGTTGGAAAATATTTAAAACTTGTCTTTAACTATATTAAATCAAAGAAAGCTTAACAATATTTATGACGAGCTCAAAGCAAGAATAAAAAATAATCTGGAGCAGAACATGTTTTCGGTATTAATGGCAGAACAGTTATGATGCAGAAGAAACTATGTGGAACTGCATCTTTTTAGTCCAAGGAACAGAAGCAGCAGTCCAACGTAATTAAAGCTGTAAATATATCTGAGGAACTGGAGCTTCCTCTCATTCCAAGGAGGGTATCTGAATGAAAATTCCAAACAAAAGCTTCTTCTCATGACGGCTTTTCTATGGCTGAATTGGTCGAAGGAGAACCGGCCATGGTACTTTCCGAAGCCGCTCTCGCCAGTTCCTCCAAAAGGTAGCGTGTCTAGTGCAAACTGCAAGAACAAATGGCAAATGAAATTCTTTTCGATTGGTAAATATGAAACGTTGGTCATTAAAAGAGAAGCATAATACGAAGTTAAGTTAAGTGTGGCAGAGATGAGGATGCTTAGGTGGATGAGTGGCTTTACCTTTAGAGATAGGATATGAAATGAGCATATACGTGAAAATGTTGGAGTAGCTCCAGTGGAAGATAAGATTAGAGAGAGTCGCCTTAGATAGTTTGGTCACATTAAACAGAGGTCTTTTGATGAGCCGGTTAGGAAAGTTGAGGTATTAGTTTTGACTTATGTTAAGAAAGGTAGAGGTAGATCTAAAAAGACTTGGCTAAGAATATTAGAAATGTTCTTTATTTATTAGATTTAAATGAGAATTTGACTTTTAAGAAGACACAATGGAGAAAAAGGATTCATATAGCGGACCCGACGTACTGAGACAAAGGCTTGATGTTGTTGTTGGTAAATATGAAACTTTGTCGTTGGCCAATTTTATGCAATAACAGGGGGAGATTTGAATCCTAAACATTCTCACTAAAAGTACTACTTCATGCAGCTTCCTTGGTCTGTTCGTTTGGAGATTTAGCTACCAACTAAAAGGTTCTGAATTAGAGTCTTGCGTATGTCATGTATGTGTGAGTTTTTATGTGTGAGTTTACCTCAATTGACCAAAATGTCAAAAAAAAAAAAAACAAAAACAAAAACAAAAAAAAGTACTCCTGCAATTGAAGCAGTTTGAAATATAACTTGTAGGGGCGAAACTTTCTAAAAGTTGCATAAAATGCATGAATGCGGTTTGACTGCACGAATTCAAACAGAACAGTATTATTCTTTTAAGAAAATAATAGAAGTTGAATAAAAAAGGTCTAGGCCTAAAATGAAAGAAAATGCATTGACCACAGCATTTTAACTGACAAACTTGCCTGGTAATTGGTCAGAACTGCAGATTATTGTTGATTTAAGATTACTTTTGTACATTGTTCTGATGTAACTAAGGCCAAACTAAAATACTGGGAGATATTGCAACAGCATACCAGCTATACAACTGGCCACACCTCAAATACTTCATTTATCGTTGGTCTCACAAATTCTCATTGGCGACAATTATGCATCTTGAAGTCAAGGCATTGTAATTGCTCTATCAGCTAAAAATAAGTTAGGGTTCATAGAAGGCCTCTAACAAAACTTGTAGGAGCTGCTAATTCAAATCTTGTAAGTTCTTGGATAAAGAACAATTATATTGTCATTTCCAAGTTTCTCAACTCAGTATTTAAGAAAATTTCAGCTAGTATTATATTCTTGAAATATGCTTCTGACATTTAGAATAATCTTAAAGATCAATTTCAGCAAACCAACGACCCCAAAATCTCTAAATTTTCAACCAAGACATGAATTGATCGACTTGAAATAAGAACAGAATGTCATTAGTGTTTACTTCACAAAACTAAAAATAATTTGGCAAGAATTGTATAATTTTATACCCGTTTGCACTTGTGGTATGTGTTATTGTGAGGGAATCAAGCAGATTATTTCTCACTATCAATATGAGTACACCATATCATTCCTCATGGAACTCAGATGAACTTTTCATACAACTAAGAGGGAAAATCCTTCTAATGGATCCTGTCCCACTAATTAATAAGGTTTTCGCATTGATATCTCAAGAAGAAAACCAATTTAGTATCACCTAAATAAATTCTTTTCATACCTAGGAGAAGAGGGTCAAGCATTTACCATTAAATCCGCAAACAACAACAATTATGCCAACTAGAAATCTGAAGCCGCAAACTTTGATCCTTCCTACAGTAAAGGATCTTAAGAAGAAATGATCATTTTGTACATTTTGCAATATTCATGGTCACAGGTGGGATACAAGATACACAAATATCCCCCCTAGTTATCAAAATTGAAAGTTCGATAAATCCAAGTAGGCAACTAAAAGGTATTAATCAAATTTTGATAAAAAAAGTTCAAGAACCCCCCAGTGATTTAAGATTCTTCCAATCATTGAACAAGCATCAATATCAACAACAACTAAAAATAATCTCCAACAACTTGAGCTCCACCATACCAAGTAGAGAGACAAACATATAAAACATCAACACATGCCTTTCTTCATTTAATTTCCAAACATATTCTGATCAAAAGTAGCGGCTGTGAAGCCGAAGCAATTTTCTTTCGTCCGCTATGCTATGCAAGCGCTTAAGGGTTCTTAATTTCGTCATCGTCACGCTACGTGAGCGCTTCGAGGCCTACCTGCCTCATTGCAAGCATCGCACTAGTTTTCCTCCTACTGTGCTACGTGAGCAAGTAGGGTGGTCCGCCGGCTCGTCGCAAGCGTCGAGTGCGGGATTTTTTAGTTAGAGATTTATACATTTGCACATGACGATGACGACGGAAATTGCAAAGATGCATGAATATACATAAGATCCTCTCTCTTTTACCCTTTTTTGTATTCATCATTATTATTTTTTGTGTATATACATATATATAGGTAAATACACTTATATATAGATATAGCTATGCATATGCATATATATACGTAAACATATATGAATATATATCTAAAATCAATGATGATAATATGAATAACTATTGACTTTGGCTTACCAGCAACTAGTAACTTTAATCTCATCAATGACAGCAAATGTTCAATAATAATAAAAAGAAGATAAGTAAGACATGCAAAAAGGCTTTACTGTTTGATTATATGGGGATTTTTTTTTAAAGAGGTTTTGGGCTTTTGGTTTGTTGTGATGAGAGTGGTGGGTCGTGAATGTTGAAATGGATTTATTGAAGTGATTGGAGGCTACTGCAAAGGAGACAAGAGTGAAGTGAGAAGCAGTTTTTGGTTTGGACGTTAGTGTAAGTAGAATAAAGGGGGACTTCACGTGAAACAATAACAAGAGTACAATTCCTGCATTTAAAGAAGGTAAAGTATTCGGCTGAAGCAAAGAGGTGGATGGAGAAGGCTTCGGTTTACAAAGCTTGGACGTTGATCTGCAAGGGGGGGGGGGGGGACGTGTGGAACTAATGGTTCGGTTCGGGTGTTGACGGGGAAGTGGAGGGCTCAAACGAATGGAGAGGTTGAGCTTGGTTTGCGTGGAAGGGAATGGCTTGCGCAGGTGAACAAATGACTGAAAGGGAGAAGTGGAGTTCGGCCGTCCGACTTTAACGGGCTGTTGGGAGATTGAAGGATGAACCTTGTAGAGAGCAACAGTTGGTATCAATGAGCGGCTGGAAGTGTGCGGCTGCAACAAAAGCCTTAACAGAGGTAAGGCCACAGTGAAGGTGCGGGCAGGGTGTTCGTGAATGGCGACGTAGGCGTGACGGAGCTGCTGCAGGAGTTCTAACGGCTTGTTTGCTGACTCGGACAGGGTGGGAGGCATCGGCTAAGTAGACGAGAAGTGGGAAGAAAGGACGGCTAGTTCGTGTGAGGGAGTTTGGAGAAACACGAGTGATTTGGCCATGAAGCTGAGTCGTGCGATTGCTGTAGTCGGAGGTTGAAGTTGGCTGAAGCGGCTGCGTGCAGCAGATTTGTGCGTGAGAACTAGCCCAAGACACTTGTTTCATTTCAATTTAACAAAGAAGCGAGGCCAGTTGTGGGCTCCGAAAATTCGGCTCAGGCCTCCCTTGCTTGCATTTCTGGGGGAGTCTTAACCGAATTAAGTTTCGGGGTAAATTTTGGAAGGCAGATGTGTTTGCAAATAAGACACTACCCAGAAATTTCGCCCTCATTTTGCGAGGACTTTATGATCTAAGTTCTGGTTTCCTATAGCGCAAGCCCCTATGGTTAATTACCCCTCTCGATAACGAGAGAGAACTATAGATTAGGGCTAGTCGTCCATCAGATATGTAAAAAAATACATGTTATTTCTCATATAGTAGCAGCATGGGCTTGGAGTTTGAAGGTTTGAAGATTTAATATTTAAAGATAGAAATTTCGTCATCTTATACTTAAAGCGGATGGTGGGGGAATGGATGATAGACCCGATCAAGAACTCATGGTTCCGTCATCCCGAGCCATCATGGTCCCTGGTCTACTTAGTTAGAGGAGATATTCGACCCAACCTAACAAAATGATCCTTATCAACAGCCATGGGTTGCCTCGTCCAAGGGGACCTTGTAGACCTGGGGTGAATATTTGCCTAAAGGGACAAATTTGAATCCACATTAGCAAACAGAGAGCTTTGTGCCCTATTGATTCATATTTCAAGGATTTGATGCTACTAAGGAACATACTGACTCTGGTCATAACCATTATCTGTGGTGCCATTTGATGGCAAAACCACTCAGTTCAGAGGGTCCTGAGTCATGACAGTTTATCCTACGGTGAAATTTGGCGACAAAATCGTAGGTCAGAGGACACGTACCACGTCCTTACTGGCAGGAGATTATTTGAGAATAGTTCTTAGTGATATTTTCGACTAGGCATTAGCTTCATATGAGCTGAAATAAATTTCAATTTTTCCACCCCGACAAACTGTTGGGGAAGGTGAATGGATTTTATTTTAAGCAATAATGGATAATTTTAATTTTAAACATATGGAATTTGGAATGATTTTTGGATTTCGGGTACTTGGGATGTCATTTTGAAATATTTGAAATTAACCCCTCCGGTTGAGATTTTCTATTCAACAAGGCCATTATTGGGGCGTTTGGGATTACTTCCATTTGTGGATTGAACATTGTCGACTTGATCGTGCGATCGATGGAGGATCGAGTTTCTCGTAGGCTTTATGGCTTTGTTGATGGATTTTCTTTGTTGGAGGCCTTGAATGCTTTATATGAACATATAAAATAGATATTTCGATCAACGCTTTGATCATATATCTATTTGATATTTCGAGCAATGTCGACTCCTATCTATCCATATAGAAGGATCGGGTTCGAACTACGTTCATTTATTGACCCGCGCATATCTCTAGACGTCACATGTGCCCATAACACACTCGTCGGGGCACATGCGGGTATTTGGGGGCATTTTATAATTATTTGTT